GAGGGGAAGAGGGGAACGGAGGCGGGAAGGGGGGAGGGTAAGGGGGAGGAAATGGTGAGGGGGGTGGGGGAGCGCTCCCTAGCGGCGAGGGATTGCCTTGGGATTGCAGCAGAACAGGAGGGGCCGTTCCGTTCCGCGCCGATACGATAGCAGCCGAACAGGGTAGCCACGTAATTTATGGAGTTCGGCAATCTCGATAGCGCTAGCGCTTTCCCAGCCAAACAGCTTTCACGACGAAAACGTTTCGCAAAAACCAGGTTACAGCCAGCAAGCGAAATTTAATTGGGTGGGGAGGAGGGGCTGGTGTTATGGGACAAGCATACGCGATACACGGTGCTCCTCCGTGAAATACCATAGATCAAAGTACAGTAACCAGCTGGTATCTTCATACCATGAATTACAGCAATTTCAAACGTTTCTTCCCCACCCCCCTCTTCCACCCTCTCGTGCTCTTTCTCGAGCCACCCAGCTATTCTTCGACATTCGCTTCAATCACCTTAGTCCTAACCCGCTGCCGCCATCGGAGCGTGGTTAGGCTCACTCAAGGTCACCCATTTGGCTGGCCTCGAATCAGCATATTCTCGCTTTTCCACCCCGTCGTTTTCTCCCTTCCCGACGCTCGTGTATTTTGATCAGCTCGCGAAACCGGTCATGCCGCTCTAGGTGAATCGCATCCGTCCATCCACTCCCGAGAATTCACTAGCAAAGTCCTCTCGATTCTATTTCCCTCTTTCCATGCCCTGCTTTCGCAGCCCAGTACGCCGCATTCGTGGATCTGAATTATTCGTGAAATCCGCGATATAACCAACACTTTCAATAGCATCATCGCCCTTATCACCATGGCAGCTCGGTTCCTCTCCCGTCGCTCCACGTCCACCCTCAAATCCCTTGCCAACGCACCCGCCGCCATCCCCGCCGCCGCCGCAACTGCTTGCACCTCAGCCACCTCGACCGTTAAGCCAAACCTATCTCATGCGGAGGCCGTCTTTTCGCGTGGTGTTTCCACCTGCACCCGAGCGAACAGCGGCAGCAGCGACATCAGCACGACCATGAAGCAGCGCCAGCAGCAGCAGCAGCAGCAGCAGCTGCGGCAGCGGCGGCGGCGCCGCCGCCAGCTCGTCAGTCCATCCCGTTGGTTTTTCCCACCACGAGTCCCCCTCTTCATCCAGAAACGCGCTTCCGTTCAATGCCCCGCCTCTCAACCCCTCCGCCACTCGCAACTCGCGCTCTGCATCCCCAGCCAATCGCCCCCTCTCCGGAATCTCCGCCGCCTTTCGCTCTCAGCCTCCCACCGCCTACCTCCCGTCGTTGGCCGCGTCCGCTCTCTCTTCTTCCTCGCCTTCCTCTCCTGCCCCATCCTATGCCTCCGCATCCGCCTCTTCTCCGTCTCCTGCGCAATCCGCCGCTACCCGTCCGCCATCAATTTCGCGCTCCGCTCACTCTCCCCGTCCCTCCCCCTCACCTTCCGCCCCCCGCGCCCCCATCCCCGTACCCTCCGCCTTCTCCCCCTCCCACCGTCGCCCCTTCCACTCCGCCTCCTCTCACCTCTCCGCCTCCCCGCGCAACGCGCTCCCCGCCTTCTCCAGCGCCGTCGCCGCGGCAGGATCCCCCGCCTCCGGCGGCTCCCCGGCCGCCGGCAGCGGCGGCGGCGGTTCGTCGGGCTCACCTCCCGCCGCGTCCAGCGGCGGCGGCGCGGCGCGCGGGTTCGCGTCGTCGGCGTCGTGGTGGGGGAACGGGCAGGGGGAGGAGGAGGAGGGGATGGGGCTACCGGCGGACGACGATCTCGACCCCGCGGTCGCCGCTGTCGCCGCGGTCGCCAAGTACGCGCGCGACCAGGCCCCCGCATGGCTCCCGCTCGTCCCCGGCGCGGGGTACTGGTACCCGCCCGTGGATCCCGTGACGGGGAAGCCGCGGTGGGAGGGGAAGGCGCGGCGGGGGGCGGGGGGGGACGCGGAGTGGATGGCGACGATGGCGCTGCAGGGGGAGGCGCTTCCGCTGGACGAGCACGTGGAGATGCAGGCGATGCGGCTGCTGTGGCAGCTGAGCGTGGGCGACCGGCGCGTGGACGGCAAGAGCAACCTGGAGCGCACCCTCGCGCTTGTTGCGCCCGCGGGCCACCCGGACCTCCTGTACTCGAGTGCGCTGGGGGGGAGGGGAGAGGGGACGGAAGGAAAGGGGAAGGGGGAGGGAAGGGGAAGGGGAAGGGAAGGGGAATGGGAGGAAAGGGACGGGAAGGGGAAGAGAAGGGGAAGGGAACGGGACGGGGAGGGGTAGGAGGGGAAGGGGCGGCCATGGGGCACCCGGAAATTATTGTACTGGAGTGCCCTGAGGGAGGGGCGAGGGGAGACGGAAGGGAAAGGGGGAAAGGGGAGGGGTGCCGGGAATGGGAGGGATGATGTGTGCGTTTGAGCGTGCTGGGTGGGGAAGTGTGTGCGTGGGGAAAGGGGGGCGAAAAGGAGGGAAAGGGAAGGAGGGAAGAGGTGCTTGGTGGGTGTGAGAGTGTCTAGGGGGAGTTGATGGTACTGGGAGGGGAACACGAAAAAGGGACTATTCAGGGTAAGTGGGAGTATCCAAACTACTCGTTGTTCTGGCCCGTCGCCTCATCACCGCTGTCCACCCCTCATCATCATCTCATCACTGCTCATCGCCACCTGCCCTAACACGTCCCTGCACACTCCATCTTCTCTCATCTCGCCACCCCACCAGGCGTGGCCCATGTAGCGCACCTGGACGCGCAGAGGGCACACAACCTGTTCACCAGGCTCGTTTGAGAATGTCCGAGCCACTCTCCCTCTGTTCCCACTGCTTCCTCTCCTTCCTCTGCTCCCTCTCCTTCCTCTGCTCCCTCTCCTTCCTCTGCTCCCTCTCCTTCCTCTGCTCCCTCTCCGCCCCCTGCTTCTCCCGCCCACCAGCCCTGGGCTATGCAGTGGACTGGGACGTGCAGGTGGCATACAGTCGTGCAGGAAGGGACGCATACGAAGAGGCACAAGAGGAGCGTGCAGTGGAGGCGGAGAGGCAGGGCGGTCCACAGGATCACGAGATAGCCGACCCCTCTCTCCCCACCGCTGACACCATCCGTGCCCCGTCTGCCACTGCCACCACGTGAGATGTTCGCACGCACGCATACCCTGCGCCCTGCTCCTTGTTTTCTGGAATTATCCCTTTCTTTGCGGCCATTCCCTTCATTCATTTGCTCTCCATTGTTCTTTCTTTCTTTCTTTCCTTTTCCCTTCTATTGGAATTGCACTGGTGGCTATGTGTTCATGTGCATGTCCACGAGCACATGCATGATGCGCCCACATGTATGCCCGTTTGCCCCAACCAGGGACGAGGACCCCATGTCCGGCCCATCAGCACCAGCACCACTCTTGGCTCACACCAAGCGCACGTATCAGCCCAGCACCCTTCGCCGCAAGCGCAAGCACGGCTTCCTCTCCCGGTGCGTGCTGCATCCTGGTTTGCTCGCTTTCACCTGTTGTTGCTGTGGGACTGGTAACAGAGTTGAAGACCCTTCAATCATAGTGTTCTGCCAGTCAGAGTGTTGGGGGACGGACCTGGCCCGATCATGCAGGGCGTGCAAGGCATGGGTTACCTGCTCTCTAACACGGCCCTCTGCTGCAACAGTGCTTCTTGGCTCGCTGCCTGACTGATGTGCACAGATTGAGAACGGTGAGCGAGCATGCATGTGGTGAAAGAACGGAGTGGGAGCGCGGGAATGAGTGGTGGTTCCTTTGCACTGAACAGTGCCCTCGTTGAACATGCTCGCATTTGCCCGCCTCCTCCCCTTCCCTTCCACCCCTCGTATGCAGCAAGAAGAGCCGTGGCGGTCGCAAGGTGCTGGCTCGCCGCATAGCCAAGGGCAGGTCAAGGCTGGCTGCATGAGTCGTGTCTTGAGGCGCCTCAAAACTGGTAGACTGCATGAGTCAAGGTCACTAACGGTACTCTAGGAGACTAGGAATGCACACCATATTGTACCGTTTATTGCTAGCAGTATGCGCTGCGCTGCAAGGAGGATAACATTGGCTGTGGGGTAGTGAGATGTGCGGCAGAAGATTCTGATACGGTAGTTTATACCGGTAATACCGTATGGTGATCCAGTAGCAAGCAACAACACAAGCACTCGGGTCTGCTTTTAGGTACCAGTAGATCGAGCTCTTTTATGGAAGAAATGTTCAAGGGCATTGGAGCATTGGCGGGATTGTAGAAATGCTCTGTTTTTAGTCTACACTTTCAATTTCAATCAATGTACCAGTGACATTTCAATTTCACACCACAAATCATAAGGCCAACTCAAATAGCCACTCAGCTGCAGCACACAATTTAGGTTCGGTACTTTACATCAATACTGCCATTGACAAATTCACCCACCTACGCCCAACAGCAAATAACACGTAAAAACTGGGAGAATGTTATTATTAGGTTTCCACATTCACGTTTTTACGTGGGTCTCCACATAAACTGTTCAATGACTAAAATCTGTGGGTCTCCACCAAGGTTCACGCAAAAAATCTGTGGGTCTCCACCTTTCGTCATTGAATCCTGTTCACCCCTTAACCCGTAAATAACAAGACCACTCAAGCTCAACTAGTGCTAGGCATCTTTCTCACGCTGGTTTGGCGCTTGGAATATAGTAATACTGTATCCTTCCCATGGCTTTTCCCCCACACCACTTGTCTTCCTTTCCGGCACCCCCATCACTCACATTGTTCAATACAGCAGCGCATCAAAACAGCAGCACAAGCCACTTCACAAGGGTGGGGTGGGGGGAGGGAGAGGAGTGCCGACCAGTCACCCCAGCCACTCCCATTCAGCATTACCACCACCACTCAGCAGCATCATTCACTCAGCAGCAGCACCAAGCATGCTCTGCTCTGGGTGCTTCCATTCCGTTCCATCACCATTTCACCTCAAACCATCAATCCACTTCAGACATGCAGAATCCTCTCGCACTGCACTGCACTGCACGGCACGGCACGGCATGGCACGCACACGTGCCCCCCTCACGCAACGGCGCCATCTAGGCTGAACCCATCCTCCAGGTCCGAGGAGGAACCAAGCAGCGCGGAGGAGGGCGAGGAGGAAGGAGACAACGGAGCATCATCGCACGGCCAGCCGGCCTCAGCAGCCACAGAGGCGGCGTCGTGCACGAGACGGCGAGTGAGGCGCGTGAGGGAGAGCATGGCGGAGCGAGCCAGGTCCAGGGCCGCGTCCTTGTCCCTCAGTTGCTTCTCCATGTCATCCGCTGCTGCCGCTGCCGCTGCTGCTGCTGCGTCTGCGCCTGCGCCTGCGCCTGCGCCTGCGCCTGCTGACGCAGCTGTTGCTCCACCATCTTGCCCTCCTTGCACCGCCGCGCCGTTTGCAGGCGTGGCGGCCGCTGCAGCAGCAGCAGCTGCTGGAGAAGCAGTCGAAGACTCTGCGTTGGTCGCAGCCGGCACCGTCAGCAGCAGCAGCAGCAGCAGCAGAGGCAGCAGCAGCAGCACTTGCACCCGCAGCCGCACCAGCAGCAGCAGCAGCAGCAGGAGTACCATTAGCGGCGCTTGGCAGTGCTGCTATTGCTGCAGCAGTCAAGGCAGCGTCAGCACATTCAGTGGTGAGCTCGGAGCTGAGGTCTGCCAGGGCTTTAAGTGCCGCCACTGCCGTCTCCACCTCCACCTTTGCCACCTGCCGTGACAGCGTCCGGGAGATTAGGGGGGGGGCGGGGGGAAAGGGTAGGGGGAAGTGGAAAGAGTACAAGGCGGAAGGGGAAGTGAGGGTGAGTAGCGAGACATTTGAGAAACCCATAGCCTACTGCTCAATCGCAACCTGCTCTCGTGGTGTTGGTGCGGATTGAAGGGGGATGGGGGTGAGGAGGTCCGGAGACAGAGAGGAATGGCAGGATAAGGACGAGAGGAGCGAGTGGGGGATGGGAGAGGGGGTGGATGAGCCGGGACGGAAATACAAACGAGAAGAAGAAATTGTTGGGGTTGGCAGGGGAAAGGCAGACAGAACAGGCATTGCCATGACAAATTTCGGAATTGTAGCCACCACGCATGCTAAACACCCAGCTTCGTCACACACTCTCCTAACCCCAACTACCTAACAAGGCCTTCAACCATCCCCAACCCAACCACCTCGAATTCAACACATTGTCCCCACCACACCCCTCACACACCACTAACCAATCCCCTTCCTCTCCAACCCCAGACCCCTCTTTTCCCATCCTCTTCCCCTTTTCTCCCCCAAACCCTTCCCCTTTCCTCCCCCTCCCCCTTCTCCCCCCCCCCCTCATGCATGCGCGCGCGCTCACCTCCAGCTCCAGTTTCGTCACTGCCGCCTCCTCCTTAAACGCCTTCGGCGCGCCCGCCTGCGCCGCAGCCGCCGCCGCCTCCGCGGCCGCGGAGACGAGCCCGTTGGCGCGCGCGTACTCGCGCAGCGCGGCGATCTCCTGCGCGCCCTCCACCAGCTCCCCCTGCACGCGCTGCAGCTGCGCCTCGCGCGCGTGCCAGCGCTGCTGCAGCGCGGAGAGCGCCACGTCGCGGTCCGCGAGCGCGAGGCGCGCGACCTCGAGCTCCACCTCCTTCTCGCGCAGACACTCGCGCACCGCGTCCAGCTCCGCCAGTAGGCGCTGCCCCGCCATCGACTCGCGCGCCTCCTTGTCCTGCGCGCGGGCGGGGACGGGGAGCAGGAGGGGGAGCGGGAGGGGAAAGGGAGGGAGGGGGGAAGGAGCGGGATAGAGAGGGAGCACGGGAGAGGGAGAAAAGGGAGGGGAAGAGGGGAAAGAAGAAGGGAAGTGAGCGGGGGAAAGCAGGACGCGGGAAGATGTGAGGAGGGGGAGGTTCTAGAGCGGGGGAACTAAAGAACTGAGAAATCGGTGCAAGCAGCGAGAGAAAGTATGGGAGGCAGTTTGCGAGCGACGAGGTAGAGAGGCTGATAACGGGGGCAGAAAGAAAAGGCAGTCGAAACCACCAGCACTTCCCCGTCCCAGTATCCACCCTCCACCCACTCCCACACCCCTCCTTTGCCCGTCTCTTCCCCTTCCCCCGTTTCCCCTGTCCTCCCCCCCCACCCCCCTCCCCCCCTCCACCTCCCCCTCCCTCCCCTCCCACTTCCCCTCCCCCTCCCCTCCCCCTCGTCTCCGGGCGCGCACCTGCATGTTCTGCAGCTGCACCTCGCGCTCCAGCAGGACGCGGTTCGTCGCGAACAGCTCGTAGTTCGCCTGCGCCAGCACCGACCCCTCCGTCACCACCGGCGCCGCCGCGCCGCCCGTCGCCGTCTCCACCAGCAGCCGCGACAGCCCCGCGATCTGCTCCACCACCGTCTCCGCCTCGCTCAGCTTGATCCGCGATTTCTGGAGATCCGATCCAACGGCTTCCAGCGCCTCCTCGCGCTCGCGGAGCTTCTCCGCCACCGCGGAGACCTCCGCCTCCCGCTCCGCAAGGACCTTCCGCGACAGCAGCAGCTCGCGCCGGAGCGTCGCGACCGCGCGCCCGGACTCCTCGAGCTCCTGCGTCTTGGCGCGCGCGTCGGCCTGCGCCGCCGCGAGGTCGGACTGCGCGGCTTGGAGCTCGAGCCGCGCGGTGAGAAGCTCTGCCTCGCGGAGCTGCAGCGCCAGCTGCGCGTCCGAAAGAGCCGCGCTCGTCTGGCGGACCTCCTTGCGCAGCGCGGAGATCTCCGCGGTGGCTTCTTCCGCGCGCTGGCGCTCCGCCAGGAGTTCCGCCTCCAGCTGAATCACCGCGCGGGACTGCTCCGCCAGCTTCGACTCCGCGGCAGCGAAAGCGGCGCGCGCAGACTGCAGCTCCGCGCGATCCTTGGCCGCCTCTTTCTGCACCCGCGCAAGCTCGTCCTCCCGCTTCTTTAGGAGCGCCACGAGCCGCCCAGCCTCCTCCTCCTTCGCCTCTAGCTCCGTCTCCTGGTCCGCGACCTCGTCGCGGAACCGCCGTACCGCCGCGCGGGACGCCGCGAGTTCCGCCTCCGCGTCGCGCAGCAGAATCGTCGCGCGGTCGAGCTCCAGAGAGGCGGAGGATCCCGCGGAGGTGACTCGGCGCAGCTGCTGGCGCAAGAGCTGCAGTTCCCCTTGCGCCGCGTGCAGCGCAACCGCGCGCGTGGAGAGGTCTTCCTCTGTGGCGGAAAGCTTGCGCTTCTTCCCCTCCAGGTCCGCATCTACCGCCGCAAGCTCCGCCCGCTGCTGCTGCAACAGCTCGCGCAGCGACGCTACCTCATTGCGCCGCTTTTCCGCCTCCGCCTCTACCTCCGCCAACTCCGCTTGGTGCGCGGCAATCGCCGCGCCAACGCTGTCCACGGCTTCCCCTTGCTTGGCGGCTTCCGCGCGCACTCTCCGCACCTCCTCCTCTTTCCCCGCGAGCTGCTCGCGCACACGCGTGAGCTCCTTCTCCCTCTCCCGCAGCAGCCCAACCGTCCGCTCGAGCTCCTCCCGCTGGGTCCCCAGCTGCCCGCGCGCGCGCGCGAGCTCGCTGCGCTTCCCCGCTTGAGCCATGCGCACGGCCTCGAACTCCCGCTCGCGTTGGATCAGCGCGGAGCGCGCAACCTGCACCTCGCGCTCCTCCTCTCTTAGAATCTCCTCCGCTTTCATCAGATCCTTCTCCTTGCGCCGTAGCGACTCGAGCACGCCCACCACGTCAGCCTCTAGCTGCCCTACCGTCTCCTCCAATTCCGCCTCCTCCGCGAAATCCGGACTGTCGGTCCGCTCCTCGTACCGTTGCGCTTGCGCAAACAGGCGCTCTAGAACTGCGCGGGTGGCCTCCCCCACGCTCTGCCACTGCGTCGGCGGGTCGTTCTGCTGCGGCTGCGCGCGGGAATGAGCGGAGGGAAGCTGTCCCCAGTTACCTGCGCCCCCGTTCCCGGAATTCCCAAATTTCCCAATCCCGCCATTGTTACCCGCGTTCCCGTTGCTATTGCTTCTGGCCCCGCCAACGTTGCCGTCGTTGCTGTTGCTCCCGCCAGGACCGTTGTTGCTGCCGCTGCTGCTCCCGCTCCCGCTGCTACTAGACTTATTCAACACGGCACGCGCCAGATCCACCAACGGCCCGCGGCTCGCCGGGTGATGGCGGGGACTACCGCTGCTTTTCCCGCCGCTGCCGGCTCCGCCGCCGCCGGCGGGTGCGCTGCCGATCTGAACAGCGCGGCCCTTGAAGGCGGAGGAGTGCGCCCATCTGGGGAGGGACGGCGGAGCGGTCGCTGCGCTACGGTGGAGAGAGGAGACGGGTGATGGTGACACGGACATGAGCGCAGCTGACCCTCCCGATGTGGACGTCTGCGGTGGTAACGCGAAGAAGTAGACAGGGGAAGGTGAGAGCGGGAGGGAGAAAACGAGAAGGCAGGGCGCGAGGGAAGAGAGGGGAGGAAACATTGAGTGATTGTGAGTGGGAGTGACATCACCCAGAGGGATTAGGAAGGTTAGATGAACAGGATGAGAGAATTCGTAGACGGAACAGGTCCGGAAAACGGCGGGGATTGCAGGGTATGAAGGTGAAGAAATGCATCGGACGGAGTTACTGTGGGAACGTCGGAATTAACGCAACGCAATGCCCGAACCGGCATACGACGCTGGACAAACAAGCCAATCGGCGTTGCTTACGATTGAAGTCGAGCGGGTCGGAGCTCCAAACAAGGCCATTCCTCAAGAACGCTGCTCTGCCAAAGCACTCTCGAAATCTGCCGGCTGGAAGCCCTCGGTAACTATAAGCTGCCTAACTGGCCTCAGTAGCTACTAGAGGGCTAAAGTCCAACCAGAGGCGAGAATTAGGCAGCTTATTGCGGCCTTAAACGGCTGTGTTGACTCGCAGTATAGGGCATGCGCTCTGATACAACCTTGCCATTCTAAACAAGGTTAACGAAATGAAAGAACGCGATCAGAAACAATCGCTGGTGGATAACTCTGGATAATGAGGTGAGGCGACGAGGAGAGGAGCGGCAACCAAGATCGAAGCAGCGTGCAAGGCGAAGCGAACCCTAGAGCTGAGAGGAGGAGGTGGGCAAGGGGAGGGTGTTGCCGTGCTGTGCCGTTGGGTTGGGGGAGAGGAAATCGAAAATCGGAAATCGAGGCAGCGCGCGCGGTGGAATCTGGGTGTGGCGGGCAGGCCGAGCGGGCTGGGGGAAGAAAACGCTTCAGGTCCATGAGGAGGGAGGGAGAGTTGGACACACAACCCACCACCCGCTCTCCTTTCCTCCCTCTGGTGACACACACGAGGTTCGTTGGCGCAAGGTCCAAGAACATTGACGGGGAGGGAGAGTAGGAACGAGGTAACGGGCAGCCTTGGTGTTTGTTCAGTTGCTTTGGACGAAACAGAAATGGGTGGACGGGATTGTTCGAAGATCTCATGATTTCACAAGGCAAGTCCAGCAATCGCGTTCGTACCACGAAAAGAAGACGGCTCATTTAGTGGCTGACGAACTGTTGCGAATCACAGAAAAAATAGTAAGCCACACTGCTATTGGCAGAATCCATCCAGAAAAAAATATCTCTGTTTTGTGTAATCCAACGCAGATGGGGCAACGACCTTGACGGCTTGCTGGATCAGCTTCAGAGTGCCAGCTCACTGGCTAAGCAAGATGCATGGGGCCCATGTTCCGGGAGAGGTGAGAAGCAAGGGCCACCAATGGAAGTGCCACGCGGGCGATGTGTATTCGTTGAAAGTGTTTGCCAGCCCATATGCCATCATACTCCATACAGGCATAGAGGTGATTGAGGAACCACAGGAGCAACTAAACGATGAAAAGTCTTATTATGGCGCGTTATAAACACATGAGAACCTAGAAAAACTCAGATTGTTTGCAAAAACACTTCCTTCACTATTTAGGTACCATATGTAGTCCTACATGTACAAAATATTTGCCGATCTCCTTTACCGGGCGCACGGAGGGGTGACCACCATACACTCGGAGCGCGGGACCCGCCAGGGAGACCCGCTCGGCCCTTTCCTGTATGCACTCACGCAGCGCATGGCTTTGCAGCCAGTTCTAGCTGAGGGCGATGTCCAGCTATGGTCATACGCAGATGACACTTACGTGCTGGGCCCTCCTTCCAGGGTGCTACACCACTTCTCAGAGATTGTGAGGCACTTGCGCGAGCTGGGCCTTGCGGTCCAGCCACACAAGTGCCTAGTCTATGGCAGGGATTTGGCAGCTTCCAGGGAGGCGGAGGCCTTCACGAGTCTGGGGATTGAGGTCGCTCGCAGATGACTCACCGTTACGGGAGTGCCGGTGGGCTCGGACGCTTTCGTGGAGAGGAGCCTACCTGAGCGTCTGGAGAGGATGGGGCGCGTGTTACCATGGCTGCCGAGACTGCGCCAGCCCCAGACAGCGGCTCGGCTACTTGCGGCATGCGTCAGCACGCGACCGCAGTATTTGGCGAGGACGGTCCCTCCGACCTCGGCTGTACGTGCCAGTTTTGCACGGTGGGATGAGCGGTTGGGAAAGACCACTCAGCAGCTTTTGGTGCCTGGGACTTGGACTTGCAGAGAGGACGTCCGTCTAGCTGCCTTAGACCAGATCTACCTCCCTATACGCCTAGGGGGATTTGGTATCCGTCGCATGGAGCGTATTTCCCCGGTGAGTTACGTATGCTCCTGGGTACAGTGCGCGCCGATCCTTTGCTCCCTCCCTGTGTGCGGCGCAGGCTTCCGACAGAGCTTCGCATCGGACGATGTCGACCAGATCGATCGATCACTGCGGATGGCGCTGGAAGGCCTCCCACGTGACATCCTTTCTCTCCTCCCCCCCTGGCACTCCTGTGTCTCTGCTGCCCCTGATTCTCTCCACAGGAGTGAGCCGTGCCTTGGAGGCGCGAGCCTTGGAGTCAGTCCGGGCCCGTCACACTAACCCCTTGCACCTTGCCCGTTTGACATCCCTTCAGGGCGCAGGTGCAGGCGCTTGGCTGACGGCGGTGCCGTACGCAGACTAGCTACGCATCCCAGAGGCGCAGTGGCAGGTGGCCTCAGCTTTTCGTCTCGGTCTGCCTATTCCCCAGCTAGCCCTCGCAGGTCGGTGTTCTTGTGGGCAGGTGATAGATGACATGACGACACCTCACCACGTTGTGCGGTGCTCCCGCTTCGGCGTCGCCACGGTCATCCACGACACCGTGAAGTACATGCTTCGGGACTTTGCTGCCGAGGCGGGCTTCGCGGTGAAGGTGGAGGACACCACTTTGATCCTGCACCTGGAGGCAGCTAGAGCGCGACTGCTTGGACTCTCGGAGACGGGGGATGGGGCACCGGGACATTCAGGTGCACGGCGGGGACAGCAGCAGCAGCAGGGTGGGCTCGGTCGAGAGGCTGGTGGGCAGGAGCAGCAGCACCAGCACCAGCACCAGCAAGGGCAAGAGGTGCAGCCGCAGCAGCAGCTGCAGCAGCAGCAGCAGCAGACGCAGGTGCAGCAGCAGCGGCAGCAGCAGCAGCAGCAGCAGGTGCAGCAGCAGCAGCAGCAGCAGCAGCAGCAGCAGCAGCAGCAGCAGCAGCAGCAGCAGCAGCAGCAGCAGCAGCAGCAGCAGCAGCAGCAGCAGCCGCAGCAGCAGCAGCAGCGGCAGCAGCGGCAGCAGCAGCAGCAGCTGCAACAGCAGCGGCAGCGGCAGCGGCAGCAGCAGCGGCAGCAGCAGCGGCAGCGGCAGCAGCAGCAGGAGCAGCAGCAGCAGCAGCAGCAGCAGCAGCAGCAGCAGCAGCAGCAGCAGCAGCAGCAGCAGCAGCAGCAGCAGCAGCAGCAGCAGCAGCAGCAGCAGCAGCAGCAGCAGCAGCAGCAGCAGCAGCAGCAGCAGCAGCAGCAGCAGCAGCAGCAGCAGCAGCAGCAGCAGCAGCAGCAGCAGCAGCCGCAGCAGCAGCAGCAGCGGCAGCAGCGGCAGCAGCAGCAGCAGCTGCAACAGCAGCGGCAGCGGCAGCGGCAGCAGCAGCGGCAGCAGCAGCGGCAGCGGCAGCAGCAGCAGGGCAGCAGCAGCAGCAGCAGCAGCAGCAGCAGCAGCAGCAGCAGCAGCAGCAGCAGCAGCAGCAGCAGCAGCAGCAGCAGCAGCAGCAGCAGCAGCAGCAGCAGCAGCAGCAGCAGCAGGAGCAGCAGAAGCAGGGCCATCAGGGGCTACAGCACCAGGAGTGTAGGGGGGAGGGGAGAGGTCAGCATCGGCAACACCAGGAGGGTCAGCCAGGCCAGCAGGGGCGACAGCAGGAGGGACAGCATGGGCAGCAACAGGAGAATCAGCTAGGGCAGCGGCATGAGGATCACCAGGGGCAGGCTGGCAGGGAGGAAGAGAGGAGACAGCAACAGCAGCAGCAGCGACAGCAGCAGGAGGGCCACCAGGGGCAGGAGGGGTCCTCAAGCAGGGGTGAGGAGGGAGGCCAGCAAGGGCAGCAGCAGGAGGGTGGACGGGTACAGCAGCAGGAGGGTCAACAGGAGCGGCAGCAGGAGGGTTCGTTGGGGCAGGATAGTGGGGGTGAGGAGTGGGGACCGCAGCGGCAGCAGCAGCAACATCGACAGCAGGGCCAGCAGGGGCAGGAGGGGCAGGCTAGTGGGGGAGAGGAGAGAGGACAGCACAGCCACCAACAGGAGGTTCAGCAGGGGCTGGAGAGGCCAGCGAGTACGAGAGAGGAGAGGGGACAGCTGGGGCAGCAGCGAGATGGCCGGCAAGGGCGGGCGGGGCTAACACTTCAGGGGGCGAGAGAGGAGGTGGCAGGGGACACGATGGCGGGAGTGCGGGGGTTAGGAGTGGAGGGTATGGAGGGGGGGGACGGGGCAAGGGTGCTGGGGGGTTTGGGGTTGGGGAGAGGGGATGGGAGGTGGCAGGTGGTTGGGGGAGAGGATAGAGGGGCAGAGGCGACAGGGGAGGAGGCACAGAGGGACCAGGCACAGCATCAACCAGTACAGCAGCAAAGGCAGGCCGGACGCACAGGCCGCATAGGGACACCAGCCCGCATTCCAGACCTGACTTGCCGCGACATAGAAAAAACTTTGATGGTGTTGGTAGACGTCTCTATTGCAGATCCACAGCAACAGGGGAATGCTGGGCTTAGACGAGTAGCCCCAGTGCAGATAGGGGTTGCAGCCGCTAGGCGAGTACAGGACAAGTTGCGGGACTGGGAACCGCACCTGGAGGGATTACAACCGCCGCCTCATTTTTATGCATGTGTAGTGGAGACATTTGGGTTGCTAAGTGAGCCAATGAGGCAGTTTCTAGGGCTTTGCGCGCGTCGGATTGCACAGCGGCGAAAAGACTTGGGGGGGGGGATGACGGGTCAGCTCGGATTTTTGAGACTGGACTCACCACACGACTTTCCGTGGCACTGCAGCGAGCACGCTCAGAGTATTATACAACATGCGGTACGGCAGTTGGGAGGGTCTGACGATGGGTGGATGCCTGCACCAGTCCCTTTGGGTGCAGGGCAGGGCAGTTGACATCACATTACCGGCTGCTTTGAGAGCGTGGCAGACATGCAGTATATGTACGACGCATACGTGTAGGTGGTCAGCGACTGTGCTTGAGAGGCTGTGTCCCGCGCTGTGGTGCGGGTTCCTGAAGTGTTTTGGTCCCTAGGTGCTTCCTTCCTTCCGTGTCTCCCTTTTCTTCTTTTCCTCTTTCCACCTTTCCTTCGGCCTTTCTCTTCTCCTCCAGCCCTTACCTTTTATCAACTTTTCCTTGTTCCACCATTTCTACCTTTCCTTAATATCCCTTATCTTTATTATCACGACTTTGTATCAAACAAAATATTTGCACCTACACTCCTATACCGTAAGTTAATCACACAGCAAGCTTATGGGCAACAAGAGTGCTACACTCATGTGATACATCTATGTACAGCACCTTCTCATTGGTGGTTCACTGTGTATCCTAGAAGCATGCTAGCCAGTTAACCCCACGCATGTGTGCATGCATAGTTCACAATTAACTTCCCATCGACTGAAAATGCCTGTAGTGCAGGACACAAGTGAGCAGGGTATACGTAGTGGGCGAGGAAAAAACACAAAATTCATATGCACAGTGGCAAGGCATTTTACACTCACACAGACCAAAAGAAATACACTTGCCAGAGCACAACATCATATAGGGAAGAACTGCACATGATCAATGGTGGTCCGGGAATGATGGGGGGCAATAAGATTCCATGGCTCAATGGGCAATGCTCACATCAGCAAGGTCAGCTATGAGGTCATCTGGCGATGGAGAGAAGGCACTGTTGACGTACAAAAACTGCATGGGGGGGAAACAGGAAACGTGGGCTAGTGATTGGAAAAAAAAACGAATGTTGTCTTCAGAATAAGAGCAATACACGCGAAGGGAAGAGGGGATGGCAACACCAAGAATCGGCAGGTCGGATGCCTAGCTGGTCCAAACTAAAGGAAAGAAAAGCTCAATAAGGGGGCCTGTGCAGCATGGAGAAGAAATAGATACTACAAGAGCAGAAAGAAATAAGGGATTCAAGGCGAAAATTGAGGAGTGCGTCCTAACTTATGCACAACTAACCTCACAACCTACCTGCCCTGTCGCTGTCACTCCACCCCCATCCTCTACCCATTCCCGCGCGCGCACACACACCCACACACACCAGAGTTTCACGATGCAGTTGTCGCCTGAGAAACTCAATGACCTTTGAAAAGCGCTCCCCTGCTGCAATCTGAGTTATCCATCGTTCAGGAAACAATGGAATAATTGGGGATCAAGGACGGAGTGACGGAGGCGAGGCTACACGAGGAGCAGAGACCAAGGGAGAGGAGCACAGAGCAAGAGAGAGAGAGAGAGAGAGAGAGAGAGAGAGAGAGAGAGAGAGAGAGAGAGAGAGAGAGAGAGAGAGAGAGAGAGAGAGAGAGAGAGAGAGAGAGAGAGAGAGAGAGGAGCACAGAGCAAGAGAAACACATGGCTAGGAGTGAAACACTCAGCAAGGAAGAGTGGGCGCGCGTAGGATGATCCTATAAGTGCGGAGAGAAACAAAACGACGGGGTAGACGGGGGGGGTTGTCCATGAAGCAGGAACTACCTTGAATTTGGATTGTTTCAATATGGGTGCATCACCCGTTGACCGAAACAGGATGACAACTGAAAGCAAAGGCACGCAGGAGATCGAGACTTGAGAATGAGTTGTCGGATATCCAATTTAGCTGTTTTCTCACACATTTCTCACAACTTGAATCGACGGAACCAGGTGGCTGCAGAAGTTATTGGGTGGAACGGATTTACGCAAGGGCTCCATCACAACCGTGGCGAACACGAGCGACCACTACATCAGAAAACTTTGAGTTGCGGTTTTACCTTTGCGGGAGGATGGAGGCGCCAAAAGCGCTGCTGCCATTGACGCACGGATCAGAATGCAGTGGAATCCAGAAATTGAGCACCGTTGGGAACGATTTTCGGCGTGAGGCATATGGCAGGTGTGTTCCCAGGTGTTCGTGTAGTGCGGTGCAATACGTTGTAGAGATCGATGGGAACGATTTTCGGTTTCCTCTTTTGAAGTACTTATGCATTGATCAACTTTGAATTTTGAAAGTCTTTCAGTACAGCATAACTGAACGCTTTCCAGCAGCATTCCCAATCAAGTACTGATCTTTCAAGTGAAAACTGAAGAGAATAAAACAAGTAGCTGCGGGCAACAGCCACCTTACACAACCTGGTCGACCATTCATTATTTGGCAGAGAAAAAGTGGACCCTAACCTCATGATGGCCACCTTACACACCCTTCACAAACGATGATGGCCTACGCTCGAACAGAACCAGCGACACTTTGAGAGAACAGAAAGCACTAACGAACTTCTGGGAGAAATCAAGTCTACTCAGTCTTCTTAGACTTGGGCTTGTTGAGAGCACCCCGGATCTTCTCATCAGCCAGCTTGTAGATCTTATCCACTTCTGCCAAAACCTTCTCGAGATGCTCGTCCACCTGGTCCTCGAACTTGTCATACAGAGCGGGCAGAGAGAAGGCGGTGACGATAGCTGCAAAGATGAAAGAAACAGGGGCCGGGAGAAGATTAGGAAACTGGTGCCGATGACGAGGGTGACAAAGACGAGGGTGCATAGGATCTAGATCTTACCAATCAAGACGAGGGTGAGAAAGTGGAACCAGGCACCAACAACTGCGACCACGTAAAGTGCGGCGAGAACCTGCAAGAACAAATTCACTTGGTAAGCCAGCTGGGCAAGCGGGACGAGCATACGCGAGAATATGATCAATGGTTACCTTGGCAAAGAGGAGGTAGTCCTTTCCGAGGGCGACGTCGTGTGCAAGCTTCAACATTGTGTTGATCTCGTCGCGGATATAGATCGCCGACTTGCTGATTGAGTCCTCAGAAACCTTGAGTTCCGGGAGTGGGGGCCCAGACCTGTCAAAGTGGCATCAGAACGATGCGCGATCGGTTACTACGGTTCATAATCTCCTGTGCATAAGTACCGCTTTAAAGAATGATCTCTGTCGATTGAGTGCTTTAAAGTTGTGTAAAAGGGGTGCTTACTTGTTCAAGAAGGAAGCCACTTGAGCCCAAAGGAAGAAGGTTGTGACCACGATCATTAAGCCATCAGCGGCCAATGTGAGAAGAGTCATCCCCGACCGTTCAAAAAAGAACCACAGGGCGACGACAGACAGAAGGATTGCAGAGCTCGACTTCCATTCCTTCCAGAGCAAAATGTCGGCAACTGAAACCGGAAACAGGAGTACGTTACAAACTTGAATGCGCTTCGTAAGAAATCAACTGCATAGATTTGTGACACTGCACGCACCTTTCCCTCCGCCAAGAAGCTCACTAACAGATTTAGTTCTGCCGAAAGGGCGAGCCTTCACTGGAGAGGGCTCGACCGCAGGCGCGACTTCAGACATCATGGAATCAGCCATTGATTCAAACGAGGGCGTTTGCGCAAGTTGAGCTAGATAATCTTGATGTCTGAGAAAACAACTCGGGGTACAAAAGGTGAATGACTACCAAGAGAGCAACGTGAATACTGCTCGTTTTGCCTGCTCCAACAGTCTGGGAGGATTCTTCGGGATCTGGAACAAAGCTTTCCTCACAGGGCCTTGGAAAGATGGAGGCAGCCTCGTGCAACAGCGGACGCTGTAGCTCCGCCTTGGCATTCGATATTGACACACGAACTGACGGCCCACATGTGCCTGACACATTCCTTTACACGCACATAGTGATAGAAAAATCGAGCACATGGATGATCTAAGATTGCCAGGTGTACAAGCAATGCTGGTTAGGATAGAAGCCTGCAATATATATGAGCATGTGTGAAAGTATTGAGCTTGCAACATAGAAATTGTTGTATATTTTTGTGATTATTTGTTCTGAGTATTTAGAGTTACTGAAATGCATCTGTTGATCAATATATAAGATCAGCCCGCTATTAACTTTAACATTAATTATTTAGCTATGCCCCCGCGCATACTTTTCACCTTCATTTTGTTGATTCTGTTTTCATCCTCTCAAGTTCAGTCTCAGTTACCGTTCATCGCCACTCACAACCATCAAACTGTCTGTTCGTCCATAAAGAACTAGACAGGGGCTGCTCATCCCTGTGACGGCGAGTTTGCTCTTTTCTTCGCATTTTTTTGAAAGCTCCAGCTTTCCTGATCGCCATGGCGTCACGAGTGCTTGCGCTGACTTTGCCACCACGACTGCGACCGCCTCTCAGAAGCAGCGCTTTGTTCGGGAGATCTCTAGCAGCAGGAGCAAGTAACGTTTATCCGCGCTTATCCCGACTTCCGCCATCTCAAAGCGAGCTTGCAGGGCTTCTTTGTACTCTGCCCCGCGCATCAGTAACCAACGCAGAGGAAAAACACGCTGATTTGCGTTCCTTTAGCGGAGAATCTTCTAACGCGGGCAGGCGGGTGAATGCCTTATCACCGAGCTCTATTCCTCCCGAGGGTTTCGGGTATAGCAGGGTGAACAGCGCGAATAGCAGCAGGCGGAGCATACATTGCTGCGCGTACAACGGGGGTGATAGTAGCCGTGCCGCGTGGCCCAGTAGCGAGTATTCTTCTGGGCGCGATAGCGATCGGGGCCGTGGACGGCAAGCAGCAGGCGGCCGAGGGGAACGAGGCGGACGCGGCGGGCCAAGCAGTAGAAGCAGCAGCAGCGGCAGTGGCAGAAGCGAAGGCTACGGTAGGGAGCGGACGGCTTGGCAAGAGGACGTCGAGGATGGCGGTGAGTTAGGATGGCGCGAGGGTGGGACAGGAGGACGGCGCGGCGGCGACCGCGAGCGCGCAGCGGAGAGATCGTACGACGACGGGGGGTACTCGAACGGGAGAAGCAGTAGCGCGAGAGGAGGCGGGAGAAGCGGGAGCGGTGGTAACCACGGCAGGGAAAGTAGGAGTGATTACGATAATCCGGACAACCGGTATGGGGGTGGAGGTAATTCCAGGTATTCAGCTTCCCGCGGTGACGAAAGAAATGGCTATGGTTACCCCAACTCCGCCCCGTCGTCTTTCACCTCGCCTGGTCGCGATCGACCCACAGCGAACGGCAGGGGGCAGTCGCTCACGAGGGATGGGCGACCGGTTCGCGACCCTCGCGACGCGCAGGCGATTCTTCTGCGACACGGCATGGAGCTGGACGAGGAGGTGCGCGAGTTGCGGCGCCAGCGGCAGCAGCGGTACGAGCAGAGCCAACGAGATCGGAGTTCGTTTCGCAGCAATGATTCTCGAGAGCAGCGCGATTCGCCAGCCGCCGCGAGACGGTCCTTTTCATCACCACCGTCCGTCTCTACCCGAGATTCGTCTCCGCGAATGGCGCCCGACTCGCGCTCCTCTCCCCGCGCTTCCCCCGCTCCCCCCCCGCTAGACAAAGTGTACCCGCCTCCACCCGTCAACGAGCGTCCGTGGTCCGCGGGCGACGCGGCGGCGGCGCGGCAGGCGGAAAAGGAGGCGGAGAAGCTGGCGCAGCAGGAGGCGCGCCTGCAGCGGGAGCTGGCGCGGGAGGTGGCGGAGCGACAGGCGGAACGCCTTGCGGCACAGAAGGAGAACCAGCGGCGGCAGAAGGAGCAGACGGAACAGCTTCGCGCGGAGGCGCGGGGAGATGCGCGGGAGGGGGAGCGGAGCAAGGGGAAGCGGAGCAAAGGGATGTGGGGAAGAATGGAGTGGAAGAGGGCGCAGGAGAGGGTGCGGGAGAGGCCGAAGGTGCCGTGGCAGTGGGATTGAACGAAGCGAAGGACCAGAAGGGAGCAGCTGCTGCAGAGCTAACGAAAAGCCGTAGCAGCAGCAGCAGCAGCAGCAGCAGCAGCAGCAGGAGCGAGAGGAAGAAAGAAAGCGAGGAGGGCGGAGAGCAGGCGTTGGTAGGTCGCAGCCTGGAGGAGATGGAGCAACTCGCCATGGCGCTGGGGGAGGTGCGCCTTCCGCTCCTTCCGCTCCCTCCCCTCCCCTCCCCTCCCCTCCCCTCCCCTCCCCTCCCCTCCCATCCCCTCCCCTCCCTTCGTTTCTCGCCCTTCGTTTCCCAGCTCCCCTCGCTTCCGCACCCCTTATCCCTCTCCCCTCTCCCCTCTACCCTCTCTACCCTCTCACGTCTCCCCTCTCCCGTCCCCCCTCTCCCCTCTCCCCTCCCCCTTGGCCCTCCCCCCGCACAGCAAAAGTACCGCGGGCGGCAGCTGCACCAGTTCGTGTATGGCAACAAGGGATGCGAGCTCAGCGAGCTGAAGCAGCGTGAGTGGGTGGGTGGGACGCAGTGGCCGGGGCAGGGCAGGGGAATGAAGGGGTACATAATGGAGGGGTATATGTGTGTGACGGGAGCGAGTGTGGCAGCGAGCGGCAGCTGCTCCAGTTCGTGTACTTGCCGCAACAAGGGCTGCAATGAGGGCTGCGAGCTCAAGCAGCGTGCAACTCGATGGCGCTATGAGTGCGGGAGAGAGTGTGTGCTGGAGTGAATGCGGGGGAGAGCGGGGGATGATTTGTGTGTGTGTGAGTGATTGTGAGTGAGAGGGTGGGGGGGAGCGGAGAGAGGCGAGAGTGAGGAGTAGGGGAGGGGCAGCAAGAAGCGGAAGCATGGTCTTGCTGTGCATGTGTCGTGATCCTTGTATTCCCTGTATCCCTGTGGTTTGCTCTGCTCTCCCCCTGTGTGCCATGCCATGCCACACCACCCACGTCATGTGCCCTGCCCCTGTCCATGTCCATGTGGCAGTATCGCTTGCGTTCCGAGAGCGCTTGGCGGAGAGAGGGGTGGTGGTGGGGCGGCCCCCCGTGCACCACGTCGCCGCTGCTGCTGATGGCACCGCTAAGGTCTTGCCTCACTCACAACACTCCCCCCGTCTTCCCCCTCCTCTACCCCTTCTTCCTTCGCTGCTCTTCACCCGCGCTTCCCCTGCTCCTTACCCTTCTCCCCCTCCATGCTCCCACTGTGAACCGTTTTCTGCCACTCTCTGTCCCGTCTTTTGCTTCCCCTTCCCCCCCCCCCCCCCCCCCCCCCCCCCCCTTTTTTTATCTCGCTCTCTTTTTGCCATCGTTTTCTCTCCCTTTCTCTCCCATCTTTCTCTCTCTCCTGCCACTCCGTTCTCTGTTCCTGAATTCTTTTCTCTCCTTTCTCTCTTCCGTCATTTCCCCTCCCATGCTGTCCCACTCTCAGTTTCTCTTCTTCATGCTCATCATTTCTCCCCTCTCCCTCCTCTCCCATCATCCAATTCTTCCGATTCGCCTCCCTCCCTCCCTCACTCACTTAATCCCCTCCCTGTGCGAGCAGCTGCTGCTGCGGCTAACGGACAACAGGCTGGTGGAGACAGTGGGAATCCCCATGGAGGGCAGTCGCAAGGGCGCTCACCACCTCACCGCCTGCATCTCCTCGCAGGTACATACTGAGGGAGGGAGGGAGAGAGAGGTGAGGACGGAGGGGGGGAGGGGGTGTGGGGGTTGGGAGGAGGAGTGGGGACGGAAGTGTAGATAGGGGGGTGGGTGGTGGTGGTGGTGTTTGCAGGGACTGATGGGAGCAGGAGTATGTGTGGGTGATGCGTGATGGGCTTGTGAGACAGGCTGGTGGAGGCGGTGCGTGTTCCCATGGAGGGCAGCCGCAAGGGCGCGCACCACCTCATTGCCTGCATCTCCTCGCAGGTAGGGAGAGAGGGATGTTGGGGAATGGACTGGGGAGAAGGGCAATGGGTGGGGAAGGGGATTGAAGGGGGAAGGAAGGGAGAACGGACGCAGATGGGGAAAAGGCGTGGGGGAGGGAGAGAAATGGCGTTTGTTTCCAAGGACTTGTTGGCACAGGGATGTGTGTGGTTGCTTCATGGTTGCCGTTCACCCACCGTGTTCGCCCTCCCGCCCAACCCAACCACAACCTTGAACTCCCACCCGTGCACTCCCCCTCCCCCTCTCCCCCACCGTCCCCCTCCAGGTGGGGTGCCCTCTGCGCTGCTCCTTCTGCGCGACGGGCAAGGGCGGGTTTGCGCGCAACTTGAAGCCCCACGAGATAGTGGCGCAGGTGCTGGCGGTGGAGGCGCTGTTCCAGCACCGTGTGACCAACATCGTCTTCATGGGCATGGGCGAGCCGCTGCTCAACCTCCCTGCTGTGCTGCGCGCGCATAAGTGCCTCAACCAGGTGCGTGGTCAATGGGGGTGGGTGGGTGGGTGGGTGGTTGTTGTGTGGGTGGGCAAGGGCTTATGGAGTGTGCTGTGCTTGTCCCGACCCCCATCTTTCTCTGTGTTGACGGAGGCCTGAATGTGTTTGCCTGCCACATGCCTACTGCCACCGGCAATCGTGCTCAATTTATGCCTTTCACCTGGGTGCATGGTTGCATTGCATGGGTGCATGCGTGCGCGTGCGTGCGAGCACTCTTATCCCGCCACCAGGACGTGGGCATAGGGCAGCGCAACATCACCATATCCACCGTGGGTGTGCCCAACGCCATTGCTCGCCTCGCGCAGCACAAGCTGCAGTCCACGCTCGCTGTCAGGTCAGTCCACCCTCGCTGTCAGGTCAGTCCGCTCTCTTGCTGTGCTCTTGCTGTGCTCTTGCTGTGCTCTTGCTGTGCTCTTTCTCTTTCTCTACCTCTGGTCGTGTATATGGTCCCACTTACGGCTCATCACCAAAAAGCACACACCTCCACTTCCCTCTTCTACAATACCCCAATTCTTTCCGCCCTTCACACACCCCCGTTTTCGTCCCGTTCCACATCACCCTCCTCTCCTTCCTTCCCTCCTCCTCAGTCATGCATGCCTTCTGACCCACCAACCAACTGCGTCGTCCTCACGAAAGCCGATTGCCTCCTCCTGCCAACCCTGTCTCTCAGTCCCTGTTTGTCCACCCTCCACCCCAGCACCTCCGCTCCCCATCCTGTCATTCTCTCCCATGCCATCCTCTCCAACACCATCTCTCTCCTTACCTCCCCACAAAAACTCTCATCATTCTCCACCCATCATTCCCTGCCCCCGCGCTCTCTCCCCCCTTTTCCCCCATGCCCTCACGCCCTTCCCCCCCACCCCTGGCCAGTCTGCACGCGCCGAACCAGCAGCTGAGGGAGGCGTTGGTGCCGTCAGCCAAGGCGTACCCCATAGAGGCGCTGCTGGCGGACTGCCGGGGCTACTTCAACACCACTGGCCGCCGCGTCTCCTTTGAATACACTCTGCTCGGTGCGCTGCCTACCTGCTCCTTGCTCCCTGCTCCCTGCTCCTTGCTCCTTGCTCCCTGCTCCCTGCTCCCTGCTCCCTGCTCCCTGCTCCCTGCTTTCCCACCTGCTCTTCTCCCCCACCTGCTCCTTCCCTGGCGCTTTTTCCCCTCTTCCGTCTTTCATGCCATTTCTTGCACTGCTGCGGAAGCACCACACCACACATCGGTCTGTCACCCGCTCCGCTCACCTCACCCCCTCCGCTCACGCTCATCTCAAGTCGTATTATTCGTGGTGGTGATGCGTGCAGCGGGGGTGAACGACCAGGTGGAGCATGCGCGGGAGCTGGCATCGCTGCTGAGGCGCCATGGTGTGGCGCACCATGTGAACGTCATTCCCTTCAATCCCATATCTGACTCCCTCTACCGCCGACCCAGTAAAGCCTATGTGCGTGCACCTCTTGTTGTCGTGTCAAGTGGCCTGAATGTATATTTGTGTGTGGGTTCTCCTCCTCCACCTCCTCCTCCTCCTCCTCCTCCTCCTCCACCTCCTCCTCCTCCTCCTCCTCCTCCTCCTCCTCCTCCTCCTCCTCCTCCTCCTCCTCCACCTCCTCCTCCTCCTCCTCCTCCTCCTCCTCCTCCTCCTCCTCCTCCTCCTCCTCCTCCTCCTCCTCCTCCCCCCCCCCCCCCCTCCCCCTCCCCCTCCCCCTCCCCCTCCCCCTCCCCCTCCCCCTCCCCCTCCCCCTCCCCCTCCCCCTCCCCCTCCCCCTCCTCGTTCCCTCCCTCTCTCTGTAAGTCATAGCCCGGGGGGTTCGTGTGATTCCAATGGTTCTGACCCTGGCGTCGCCAGTGTCTGTCGCTGTGTAAAGCGGCGATCTGCATCTTCTTGGAGTATGATGATCTGATCCGCATCCCCCTCTTTGCATGCACTGCACCAGGTGATGGCGTTTGTGGAGGAGCTGAGGAACCAGAGGATCACCGCGTCTGTCAGGCACACTCGGGGCATGGAGGCAAATGCAGCGTGCGGGCAGCTCAGAAATGATTTCCAGAAGGTTCCGCTGAGCGTGGCGGCGGCACCAGGGGAAGGAGAGCCTCTTGCAGAAGGCATTTCAGCTCTGGCGTAAAGCTTGACGGTTTCTTCTTTCTTGTAGCGTCGCGTTGCACGCACATGACCAACAGCGCCAATTGAATTTTGTTCCGGTCAAATCTGGAATCGTGTGCCTGCATGCTGCGGCACCACCAGATATTATTTGAATGTAACAGTCATGCTAGATACAGTGTATTCTGAACGACCCGTTTGCTTGTCTGGCTTGGAGAACTTGCTCCCTGAAGAGTGGGTGGGTGTCTGGTGTCTGGTGCCTGGTGTCGTGTGGAAATCTGGGGCAGAAAGCCCTGAAGTCACCTCCCTCTGTCTTTGCTCATCAACACCACTGCACCCTTCTCCACTCTTCTGCGCTCCTCTCCACTCTATTCCGCCTGCAACCCTCGAAACTTGGCGGGTACACGAGACCAGAACAAACCATACCCGACCAGACTAAACCGAACCAGAACTCCCTTGCTGTGATGTTGGTCTTGGTCTCCCAACTTCATCCCGCAACTCAACTTCACCCAGGTGATGTCAGGTTGTACAGCTTCTCTACGCTCAACTTCGTTTCGTCACGGTGCAAAACGGTGAACCTTGAGAACCGCTTTCCATCGTGTAGAACCGTTTTGAGCTACGATATCGGAATTGAACATGGCGAGAAATGTACTACACAACCTGATGTCGCCCTAACCACAGCAGCCAAACGGCATTCTTCTGCTTGGATCTCATCTTGTTAGAATACTGCTAACCGCCACTGCTCGCCGCCAGCTCCGACCGACCAACAGCAGCCATGGCCTCTCCGAGCCTTCGCGCGGGAATCTCGCTCTTCGTGCTCCTCGTCACGATCACGAGCAGCCACGTGGCAGCGAGCTCGCACCTGACCGAGTTCGTGAAGACAACCGTGAAATCCAAGCCGATAGTCATCTTCTCCAAGTCGTACTGCCCGTACTGCCGGCGCGCCAAGGCGGTGTTTCAGCAGCTGAACGTGCACCCGCACGTGGTGGAGCTCGACCAGCGCGACGACGGCCAGGACATCCAGGACGTGCTCATGGACCTCGTCGGCCGCCGCACCGTGCCGCAGGTGCGTGCGCGCGCGCGCGCGCGTGTGCGCGCAGATGTACGGATGCGCGCAGATGTATGGATGCGCGCAGGTTTATGGATGCGCGTCTGTTTTTGTGAGGGTAAACATGTGCGCGCGCCATTTGGTTCTTCACTGCCTGCGGAAATGGGTTTTCTGCAGTGACTTTTGAGTCGACTCAAAAGTCGATGGGTTTCTGCACTCGCGCTGATCTTAATCCAGCCTGCTTCGTTTCCAGTATCGAGAGTCGTAACATGCGTATGCGGGTCCGCATTTGAAGTGACTTGTGAGCGGAATCCAATAATCGTGTCGTAGTATGCGTTCAGATGCGCGTCTGCATTCTTGTTTCGATCTCCCTCCTGCATTGCATCCTCGAGCGCTGCGCAGCATGGATTTTCGAGATTCCTTATTATCGTAGCAACCTTTATATCATTGTATCACACGGACAGATTCACAGATGGCCAAGTATTTTATTAGAATTCTCAAAAATACCCGACAAACTGTTGCTGTCCCTTTTCCTTCCCTCCTCGCCCGCTTATCAACCTTCCCCCGCCCGCCCTGAAGCTTTCCCCTTTCTCTCCCACCATTCTCCTCTCCCCCCTCCTCCTCCGCCTGCCCCCGCTCCCCGCGCGCCCATGCGGCGCAGGTGTTCGTGGGCGGGGAGCACATCGGCGAGGCGGATGAGTTTTGAGACGTCTCAAAGCTACATCTCATTCGCCTCTCCTCTTTCCGCTACTTCCCACTCCCCCCCCCCTCCGCGCGCGCCCGTGCGGCGCAGGTGTTTGTGGGCGGGGAGCACATTGGCGGGGCGGACGACACGGCGGACAGCTTCGCGGACGGGTCGCTGCGTGACAAGGTGCACGCCGCCATCAACTCCCACTCCGACCTCTGAGCCTCCGGCAGGCTCCGCCCTGCGCCCTGCGCCGCCGACTGGGGGGGCTTGGATTGGAGGCAGGGAGACGGGCAGGCAGGCAGGGGAGGCTGGCAAGGGGGTGAGCAGGCCAGTGGGTCAGGGGGCATCAGGCGATGCGGGACAGGCGAGGAGGCGAGGGGTGACGGGGGGGGGTAAAGGAGTAGGCACAGCCTGGTGGTGGTGGAGGTGAGGGCGACCCAAGAGGTGCTTGCTTGTGTGTGCAGTGCAGTGGACGAGCTGCGCTATTGGAAAAGCAGCTGCAAGCTGTCAGTGCCATGTTGCTGTGAGCTGTCTGTGTGCACAGCAGGGCCTCTCCTCCTCCACCTCTCCTTGTGGTAATGGCGCCTGGGAGCTCCTGTGGCAGTTGAGCTGGAAATTGCTAGGTGCTTGTAGTGACTGAGCCGCCTAGGAACTGCTCTCCTTGTGTCTCTCAGTGGGTACACTTTCGTGTTTGTGGTATGGTACGGTATATGCTGTTCCAGATGAACACAATCCATGGAGTTGTGTGGGAGCATGAAGCATATTTTTTTGCCTGAATTATCGGCGAGTCAAATCTGCAGTGAGTTGCAGTGGAGGAGTCTTTATGTGCGTGTTGGGTAACTGACACATGGCTTGGCACATACATATGATAATTTTTAAACACATGAAGTGTTTTTTAAAATTACTTATTTCGAAAGCGCAGCTGCCTGTAACGCAGATTTTGGCATCGTCGAAGCGCGCTAAACGCCCTTCTCCAACTACAAAACGTGGGTTGGAGCTCATTTCCCTCCACCCACGTCTCTCATTTTTCAAACGGCTCTTGCAACTCTCAACCTTCCGAGCTCATTTTCCATTTTCCGTTCAAGCTGGCGAGAACTCGCTCGCTTCCCAGAGGCATTTCTCCTACTTTACTAGCGGACATTCTCAACCACAATCGTTCGACAATGGCTTCTACGCCGACACTTAACCGCGCGAACAACACCGTCGTCAACGACTCGATTAATTCCGACATCGACCATAACGCCCGTGAAACGTCGGGCGAACGCCGCAACAAGCGCCGGGCAGACGGCGAAACGTCCGCCCCTACCGCCGTGGACGTACTGCTGGGCGGGCTCGAAGTCAACAAAAACGCCGAGCAGCACCCCCAGCACCCTTCGGCACCTGTGGCGCCAGTGGCGCCAGTCGCGCCTGTGGGGCCTGTGGCGCCAGTGGCGAACGTGGCGACACACGCCACTGACGCGGACCACGCGCCGGCGGCACACGCGGCCCACAAGCCGTCGCGTCAGCGCCAGAGGCGCCGCACGGGTGCCTCGTCTGACACGACGGCTGACCCTGGCTTGACCGAGGCATTGACCGCGGACCAAGTCAAGGCGCTGCTGTCCTTGTTACAGCAGCAACCCGCCAGCGCAATTGCAGCCGAAACTACACAGCCGGCGGCGTCTGCATCTGCTAAAAAAGAAAATACGGTACGAAGAAGGAGAAAGGAACATCAACGCGTCGCCACGACAAGGAGGCGATCACCAGCGCTCCCGAAGCTGCAGCAGCCGACAACGACTACGACGAATCAGATGACGACGCTGGTGAGGCTCCGATCAACGCAACACAATTTACCTCTATGGAACATCTCCCCCCCCTCCCTTCCACTAACCCCACGTTTTCGGCGGCTAACTTCTTCGACCCACTCGTGCGAGCGAAAGCGGAACCCTTGGAGGACCTGCGAGCTTACCTGAAGCATGCGGAGTACAAGTTGCAGCACGGCGACACGGCGGGCGGCCTCGAGATGGTCGTGAACGGCCTCAACTACATTTCGGAACGCTACGAGATGCTCCAAGTCGAGGACGCCACCGATGACCGCGTGGCGAAACGTTTCAAGATGTACCAGCAGAAAAGTCTGCTCACCTCTCGCCCGTTCAAGCAAGCTATCGCGGATGTGGCGGCGATGGATCGTGCGGAGAATGCACGAGCCCACCGCAACGGAGGTCGCGGGCCCGCGCCATTCACTACAAAGCGGGGTCCGACCTCGGGTGCCTTTCATGGCTTCCGGGGGTCGTGTTTCCGTTGCGGCCAGCCGGGCCACGTGGCAAGTGGCTGCCCGCGGAACGGGAATGGTGGCCAAGGACCCGCACCCGTGGTGTAAGGTCGGGCCTTGAGCATTTGCGCAATAGTGCGCGTGGCACGGTGCACGTCACGTGCGTTGACCGTGGGCAGCCCGTAGGGGTTTGCGGGATAAATTGGCCGGCCCTAGTTAGGGGAGGTGATAGGCTATAGGCCTAGGATGAGGGAAAGGGTATGACATGCCCTTCGGTCCCATGTGTGCGCCCAACGAGGCGAGAGTAAATGCATGCTAGGATGCATGGCAATGTATGGCCTGTTTCTTATAAGGGCACTTTGATAATAAGGGTACCTTCTTGTTCCATGGTCCAACAAAAAAAAAAAAAAAAAAAAAAAATCAGAGAGGTGGAGATAATGTGAGCCAACACATGGCTTCACACAAACGGCCCCACCCCTCATGGGTACGGGCAACCCTCGGCTGGCCATAGCCCAAGAGCATGTCCCGAAGACAAAGGAAAGCAAGCGCCAAAGCAAGAAAGGGGAAAGGGGGAGGAAGAGAGAGAGAGAGAGATAGCCGGACGTACACAAGAGGGAAAGAGAGGATGCAAAGGCAAAAGGAGGGATCGCGAGGCCATGAGGAAGAAAGGGCAATCGCAAGACAAGGCGAGAAGACTCTCTCCGATGCCCCAAGGCCTTACAAAAAAAAAAAAAAAAAAAACACACACACACACACACACACACACAAACACACACACACAGGCACACGCGCGCGCGTG